TGGCGCGGGGCGCTGAGGCTGCAGGGGAGGGGGGTGAAGCAAGGGAGGGGCTCTCGCTGCCGGAGCCCCATGCGAGCAGCTCAATCCGGCCTGGCTTTAGATTTTTACAAAGTCCTCCTGGACGGCTATTTAAAACCCCAAAATCCGGACATGTCCGGGATAATCCAGACGTATGGTAACCCTAGGCAACTTCCATTGTCCCCCCTTCCCCGCCACTGCCTGCCCCCCATAGCTCCTACCCCTCAGCCCCCACCCCCGAACGTTCCCCCACATTCTGCCACCCCCCATATTCTCCTGCCCCCCTCCCAGTCACAGGTAGGTGCCATTTCCCATAGGGCAGCCTGGCTCCAAGTCCACTGGGGACACTGGGAGATGGCGGCCATCTGAACTGGAGGGGGGGGATGGGCATTTGAGGGGAAATAGGGCAGGGGACGGGGGTGTGAGGAGGGAGGGGCCATGGGGGGGGCAGGGTGTGCGGGGAGCAGGATCGAGGGGGATTCGAAGGGGGATAGGCCAGGGCGGGGGCAGGATGGGACATAGGGGGGCAGGCAGAGTTTGAGGGGTGTTAGCTGTGGGCGAATCTGTTGCTTGTCCCCCTCCTGCTCCGTGGGACCAAGAACTGAGGCTTCCAGGTGGTTGAGGGGCAGCTGGTGAGCAGGGGGGTGGCGGAGTTAAGGCCCAATGGGACCATCCAGCCAGGCTCCTGCAGCACCTTTAACGCTGCCCCCGGCGTTACCCAGCGCTGGGTGAAAACGGACGGGCGACGGTGCAACCATCACACCTGGGTCCTGGCTCCCAGCCCCCCGCTCTAACCACTAGACCCCACTCCCCTCCTGGAGCTGGGAATGGAGCCCCCTGACCCCCAGCTTTCTGCTGCCCTCTAGCCAATGGCATATAAACAAAGCCTGTGTCACGTGTCTCTCTAGGGGCCTGGCCACATAACCACTGACAGTGTCTCCTCCAGCTCAGGGGCAGGGTCTCTGTGGGGGCATTAGAAGGTCCCTGGGTCTCTCCCAGCTGGTGACCCGTTGGGGGCCCGGGATGGAATTTCTCTTCACGTTTTCTTTTGAACCTGGTTTATTTAATTCACACACTGAGAAAAGCCCCTTAGAACCAGGCGTTACAGTGTAAAGCCGCCATCACCGCTCAGCTATGGTGCAAGGGGCAGCAAACCCAAGCATCCCGCATCGCGCCGCTCCTCACACAGTGCCACGGCTTGTGTCGCAGGTGGGCAAGTTTGCAGGTTGAGAGGGAAGGCTGCAGAGTCAAATCCTCCAGCAACAGGAAATACCCCGGTTACGGCATTCTGAACGACCTTAACTCTCCCCCTCATGCAGGACCATTACAACGCCAGCCTTTAATTGCATAATCACTTATTAAAGTTACCTACATGGGTCATCAGCCAGGCTTGAACCCAGAATGAAAAGGGGATGGATTTTTCATGGAAATCGTGGTCAGTGGAAGATTGAAGACCAGACCCCATGGTTGCCTGGCTCTCAGCCCGATGCACCTTCCTCAAGGCTGCAGGGTACATTCAGGGTGACCTGTCCCCCCCTCTCCACAGAGACACAGAGAAGCTGGGAGCTGCATGACGCTTGGCCAGGCTGACGATCACCGGGTTTCTTTCGTTTTGCAAAGACCTCTACTTACTTTGACCGCACTAGATTTCACCCGCAGATTTGAGAGAATGTCTGATGGACACAGGAAGAGACGAGACATCGTCGACTTCCTGTAGAGGCAGCTAGCAGTTGAGTTCCTTATTTGCAGCTCGGTGGAGCTGGAGACTGGGGTGTTGGTGGCAGCGCTGAGGGGTCCCTCCCTGACCCCGTCATGGCGTCTGCTCTCACCGTCCTCCTCCTCGGTGAGTATCGGAGACAGCCAGGGCGTGTGTCCATGGGGGGGATCTGAGACCAGGGTGTAGGATCCAGTTGCTCTGGTATCTGGTCCTTAACGGCCCTTCTCCTTTCCAGGCTGCTGGTTTGCCGGGCGGAGCGGGGTGTCGGGAGGTGAGTATCCGTGTGGAATGGGGCAGCTGAGGGAATTTCCACATAAAGGATCAGGGACATGGGTAGGGGGTGAAGGCGCAGATCCCCCAAAGGGATGATCCTATCAGATCTCTGCTCTCTCCCACACCCAGAGGTGGGGACCAAGACCTCCCCCCACTCATTACAGGGATGGGCACCACACAGGGTGAATTCACCTGCACTCAAAGCTCTGCCCCCAGGAAATACAGAGTGAAGGCACCAGCCACCCCACAGCGCCCACGAACTATGCCCGAGGAGCTGGCAGGATCCCAGGGAATGGGTCAGTCAGAGCAGGGCTGTAAGATGTGGACATGCAAGGGGACTGGAGCAAGGCACCGTTGTGTCTCACCCTCGGCTTGCTGCACACGCACGTATCACTGCTTTGCTCGTGGGTCCGGCTCAGCCCGGCCCGGCGTTCGGAACGTCCCCTGAACAGCTTTGGGAATATCCCGTCCCCAGAGGGGCCGCCGGCACCGTGCAGAGCGGAGCTAAATCCCCAGCGGCTGAGAGCGGTTTGGGGCGGAGCAGAGCCAGAAATTGAGCCCCAGGGGTGGGCAGGAAAACGTTCGAACAACCAGGGGGATTTTGCTCAAA